CTTCCCTGAAAGAACCAGCTCTGGCAAGTAAAATAATGAATCATAAACTTTATTTCAAAATGTAAACGTCACTAAACATGCATACATGTTAAAACAATAAAATTTACAATTTCATTAATTTTTTTTTCTTTTTGCATAGGACATCATTACAATATAGAATCTATGCCTTACAAAATACATACAAAGTTTTCTTTCAGCAAGCCAAGGCCAGATTGGGGGCTGTACAACTGTAATACTTCACTGTAGTGATCCAGGAACGATGAAACGCGGCCTTTGGAGGAATGGTGGGGAGCTGGTAAGAAGAAAAGAAGTAAGTTCCTATAGAGAAGGAAACATGAGCTGGATGGAAATGGTCTTGGACCCTTGCATTCTGCCTTGGGATTTTGGCAAAGGACTCCAGATAAGCCCCACCAATGGTTCTGGGTAGGAAGGGGTTACCTAGGTTTAACACCACCACAACTGCCAACCCCCAGAATGGCTACAAGCCCTGAACCTACGGTGCAGTCCCCTGGCAGAGCCTGCTACTGGCCCTGCCTGGGCCCCAGCACCATGTACCCGCACACTCTCTGGGGTGAGGCTTAGTAAGCCTAGCCAGAGGCAGGTGGGACCAGGTCTCGGGGCAGGCCTCCCCGTGGCGTCTGGCAGTCCCAGGGAGGAAGCCTCCCAGAACAGGCCGTGGGCTACACCAGATGGACCAAGAGACCTGCAGTGGCCTTCTTGAAGACACTCAGCTCGCGCACTAGGCTCCAAATGCACATGTACAGCAGCCTGTCGCCAGGTCCCTGAGGGAGACGCTAGGAGACCTGGGCTCCAGAGCCCAGGAGCTGCACATGCGCTGCCCACCAAAGGGCAACCCAGGCCCGGGGGCTGCTTCTCTCCCATCCTCTTCATTTTTAAATAAGAGTAGTAAAGTTTTAAAGCTGTATGAGAAGAGAAGAGGCTGGGCAGGACCAGGTGGCTGCTCTGCAAGTCCAGCAGCTCTGTGGGGTCAGCACAAATCAAGGGCGCCCTCCCTCCCTGGTGCTGACTGGGAACACGGATTCCGCTCTTCCCAGTGACAAGGGCCGCGCGGGCCGGCAGGGAGCGGGGGGGTAGTCGCTGCCTCCACGGTGCTTGGCGTTACTCAGTAGTACGCTGGACTGTATGTACATCCAAATCCGAGTACAGACTCTGGAGTGTGTCCAGAACACACGCGGGGAGGCTGCCAAGTCAGGAAGTCAGTCAGCAGCGCTGCACCTTCCAGGCCGTCGAGATTTCAAAGCCCATCAGCCCGCATCTGGATTTGCGCTTTGGAAGATAAGGTCACCAGGAATCACATGTGGAAAACGTGGGCAGCTAAAGATGTGGGTCACCTACGAAGCACTTCTTACTGGTCAGACCAATACTACCAGCCCTAAAACCTTCTAGCACTGTGCCTTGGACTGAATGACTTTTGAAAATGGGTTAAAAAAAAAAGCTCAGTGACACCTGTCAGAAGACAAAATAATCAGGTTGCCTTGTAAACAAAGCCATAACCAGCACGAGGCCATGCTCAGATCGCATCTGCCTGGCGGGCAGCACCTTGCCTGCCCCGTGGAGACCCTGGGTGGGGTCCCAGGAAGTGTGACGACCCTGTGCAGTCCACCTTAACACCTGCGGCTGCTGAGCTGGATCGAGGCTGGGTCTGCTGAACACGCTGGGATAGGAGGCAGAGGTCTTCATGGGGACAGTGGCCCTGCCAACCTCCCCTGGGACCAGGCTGCCACCAGCCCTCTTTTAGCTTGTCCCTGCCCTGATTCACCTGTCACCACTACTCTGGGCCCTAAGAGGCCTGCGGTCAGCAGAGTTTAGAGTTTGCACCAAGAGGCTGCACCACAATGGCCCTGCCGTCCCCACCTCCACACTGGGACTCATAGTGACCTGGAGGGTGGTTTGGGGGTCCTGTACCTCAAGTCTCGTGGATGGGACGTGTGGCGGAGTACAGTCAGGGCACCTCCAGCACCACATTTCCATCGAGGGCATCTCCACCTATCACTAGGTAGCACCGTCGAGAGGACCACGGCGCCCTCTATGTTTCTGTATGGCTGCAGAACTCAGGAGGTATTCGGGGGTTGACAACTATTCCCCTAATATGGCTGACACTAAGAGGGGCTTCACTGTGTGGGTGACAGCCCCTCAATGGCTGATCCAGAAGCACTCTCAAACCCTTTGCAGTGGGTCTCTCCCTCTCTTTAGGCACTCTTCTCTTGGAGATTTCTGCCTCTCTGGCCCATTAGAATTAAAGTCTGCCCCCAAATAAAGGTCTGACTTTTCGCTACGATTTCCAGGAGCCCCTTGGGGCCCTTAATCCCACTTCCATCTATCAGACTCAAACCAGCAAGCCTGGCCATAAGTCACAGAAAACGAAAACCCCTGAAACAGACCCAGGCTGGGAAGACACCGCATCCTGGAAGGCAACCCTCATTTCATGATGTGATGGAAACCTAATGAGAACCCTTTAGAACTGAGCCTGAGATTCGTGGGTTCATTCCCCCACCCCCACCCTGTGATGAGATGAATTCAAACCTCAGATGAGCCTGGAGGGTCCAGCCGGGTTCGGGGGGGGGGGGGACCTCCCTCCAAGTACCCTGTCCCCACTTCCCAGGCCAGACCTAGGCTGAAGGACCACACCCTGCCATTAAAGAGAACTGCTTTGGGAGTGAAGACACACTCATCTGCCAAAAATAGCCACCGCCTGCATACTTCTGTTTTAAGGCAATGTTACCCTTCCATCTATCAGACGGAACAGCCCTGGGTCGTTTAGAGGAAAAATTAAATTAAGTGCTTTCTTTGGAAACAGCCTACGCCCACTTGCCCTCCCCCACCCCCCTTCCCTCTAAAACAAACCGGCTCTTTCTTTTATTCCAAGATGACTGGATTCTGAGTCCTTCCTATGTGGAGACAGACATGGAGTCTGAAAACCTCCTTCTGTGACACTGTGGGCAGATCACAGGGAGATGCCAGGCTCCCTCTCCTGCCTTCAGAACCATGGATGTGGGTGCACCAAAGGACTTTGGAATAAAATTCCTGAACCTGGAATGTAAGTTCCTGAGACATGAAATGCGTTCAGAGTGTGGCTTTCTCTGCCTCACACAGCAACAGCTTTGGGTGGGACCCCACTTTGGAACAGGCATGAAGACATCACACCCCAAGCACCCAGGGCTCTTCACACAAGGTCCCTTCCACATACTCCACTCTCTCTCTCTCAGACTAAATTTATGCATGCTGGGCCATCACAGTGCCCCACGGCACCAGGACGGCCAGCTCGGCACCCGACCAGACAGCCTCGCCCCCAACCATCCCACCCACGTCAGAATAGAGCCACAGCCCAACTCGGTACCCAGCATGCTACACCGCTAAGCCACAGCATGCCATTGGCCATGCCCAGCAGACACATAGTAGTTACAGTGGCACCTAGAGCGCCGCAGATGGCACAGACAGATGGCCCATCTTCTGGAGCTGGCCCCACACAGCAGCCAGGGCTACCACCCTGGCTTGGCATGGGTCCCCAGGTTTTTCTGTGCAGCACCCCACATCATGAGAGCGATGGGGTGGAAGTGGAATGGCTACAACCAAGGCACTCTGGACCCAGGAAGCCTACCGACGGTCCTCCGAGCCCCAAGGGTCGTTCCTCCTCATCAAAGTGAGAGGTCTCTGCAAGACACCCAGTCCTTCCCTATAATGCATGCGTGTACACACACACACACACACACACACACACACACACACACACACACAAAGTTCTGCAGCCTCATGTTTGTGGGCCCTGACTCTGAAGTACACAGAAGGCCGTGCTGAGCCTCACAGAGCTAGGGTGGGCACTCCAGGGGCCTTGGAGCTTCCTGGAGCACAGCCTCACTGCCTGGGCCCAAGGTTCAACTCCAGCCCAGCCCGGGCTGGGATTCCAGGCCATGTTCTCCGGCTCTGCGCTTCTCTTCTCCTACCAGGAGACGGGAGCTCAGGCAGGGTGGGCAGAAGCCAAGAGAACAGAAAGAAGTGATCCAGATGACAGCGAGAAGGTGGAGATTTCCAAGTCTGCACTAGCGACACTGACGGTCTGAGAAAATCATTCTCTACAGCTGTCTGGCCAGAGTTCTCCGAGGACAAAACAGAACACACACTCTCCACTGCACTTTCCACAACAGCGCTGCACCACTCCTGAAAAAGCACAAGTCCCAAGTTCTGGTCTCCTGCCACAGAGCAGTCTCTGTGAAGCGCTGAATGACGAGGCAGCACCATGGCCTCACACGGCGGGACTTCCACGACCACCTTGCGTGGGAGAGATCAGGAAGGGCATGCACCACCATCTTTCTGAAATCTTTTCAAAGTCAAGATTTCCCAGGCCTGATTTTCCAGTCAGCAAGCACAGAACCGTGAAGGGTCCTGGGGTGCCGTCTGCAGGGTGGCGGGTCCTGGATAGGTGGTGCCCAGGCCCTGTCTCTCAGCGGTCTTTGGGTGCAATGGTCTCTGTTTCCAGTTCCCCCAGGCCAGGGGAGAGAACCCGTGGAGGCAGGGAGCGAGACAGCAGGACCAGTGCAGTGAGGCAGCAGGGGCTTCCCGCCACAGTCCTCCGTGTGCAGTCACGGCTTAAGGCATCCCTCTGTGTGGCCTTCCCTTAGGCCTACGTGCACCCTGAGCCAGGCCCATAGGGCAAGGACGGAAGCTTGCAGGTTGGCAGGAAGGAGACCAGGCCTTGCACTTGCATCAGTGACCAACCCAGGCAGGGCCAGAAATCGGTCAGCCTGCTCTGTCCCTGTGTTCCCAAACCTGATGGAAAACTCCAGAGTGCAAATCTATGTCCAGAGTAAGGCGACATAAGAGGTGCCCTCGCTGGCCTCATGGACCATGTCCATCCCTGAGTAAGGGGTTCAACACCACTGAATCTCAACGTTGTGGGTATCGCTATTTGTGCAATTTGTGAGTGGTGGGGGTTTTTTTGAATTTTTTTTTTTTTTTATACAAACTGACATTGACACCTGAGGTGAAGAAAAGTGTTTTTTTCATGGATTTTTCATCACGTTCTCACTCTGCTTTCTTAGTACAAAAGGGGCAGGGTCTGACGCGAGGAGAAAGAGGAGAAGGAAGAAGAGAGCGGCTGCTCATGGCTGTTGTCGGCAGGGTCCTGGGGTCCTGGGGCTGGGGCTGCAGGGCAGCGGTGCGCTCAGGGTGAGCTTGCTGGGCTGATGGTTGGGCTGCTGGCGTCCGAGCGGCTGTAGTCGCTGAGCGAGCCGGTCCGAGACCCCCCACTGCGCCGCTGCAACATGCCAGGGTGGAAGTTGGCATGGCGCCGCGCATGCTTCGTCAGGTGGTCGCTGCGCATGAAGCGCTTCTCACAGATGGGGCAACTGAACTTCTTCTCCCCCGTGTGCGTGCGGTAGTGCCGCGCCAGCTCATCAGAGCGTGCGAACTTTTTGTTGCACTCCTGCCAGCTGCAGGCGAAGGGCCGCTCACCTGTGGGAAAGGGGACAGGGATAGTGTCAGTCTCAGCTCTGTCCAGCGAAGCTGGCCTCCTGTGTCTGGCCCCTTCCTCCCTCAGGACACCTGCTCACCATCCCCAGGAGGCCCCTACGACCCGCAGCCCTCAGCCACCCCACTTCTCACCCACGGCACCTACTCCTTCTCTTGTAGCAATCCATAAAAGCAGGTGTGAGGTGGACCCGGCTTCCCTCATACCCCAAAGTGGAAGTAGATGAGCCAGGCTCCTGGGACCAGGTGAAGTGGCAGGGGCCAAGTGGTAGGTCTAGCCAAACATGCTGCCTCTCCATCCTGGAGGGGGTCAGATAAATCCCTACCACAATCCTGGCCTCCTTGGGCTCTCTTGTCTGTAACACAGGGTTGTGTGTGATATGAAAATTTTTCCAGGGGCTGAGACTGGACAACCTGCCAGCCTGTGGCTCCTTTTCAACTACAGTCCCAGTACAAGCAGCCACCAAGAGCCAGTTGAGGAGACCACGCCAGGCTCCAACAGACGCCAGCAGGGTGACAGACAATGGCGGTGGCCTTGACAACCCATGAAGACATAGTAGGGGTGGAAGGTAAGGAAAGTGGCCTACAGAAAGGACCTTGGCCCCTCCTTCAGGTCCTTACTCAGACCTCAGGAGAGACTACTATTCACCCAGGCAAGTTCTAAACCACAAAAAGTAACACCAACTGCCCCGGATAGCCAGTGGGGGCTGTGCACCCCAGGATACAGCGACCATCCGACCTGGTCTTCTTCTGTCTCCACACGGTTCCCTAAAGCAGATGCCAGTCCTTCCTGGTGGACTAGCTATACTGACTACTTAAATCCACCTACCTCGAATACCAACAGACACTCAAGGGTGGCCAGATGGCCCAGGAAAGTCAGCCGCACTCAAGGAAAGCAGAGCAACAAAAGCACCAACTCCAGAGAGAGTAAAACCAGGGAGAGAATGCTGACCTAAAAATTCTAGTAAGGTCTCCAGAGAATCTGAGACACAATTTGATGCACAAAGCAAACAGGAGAAAGTTCAGAGGAATAAAAAGTAGCAAAATATCGTTGCCCAACCAAAGTTACATGTAAAAAGCTGCAAATATATGTAAGGAATATTTCAGAAAACAGACCACCCGCCACCCGCCCCGGAAACTAAGAGAACACTGCAGAATTCTGTCTCCTCTTGTGGAAGCAAGCAGTCACAGGTGGCCGGATTTGGCGGTCTCACTAATTCCTGCCATAAAGGGAAAGGTAATGGTGTTGTAGGGCTTTAAAACCCAAGTAACCATCACCATTTCCTAAATCTACTGACAATGGCAGCTAACAGACAGGACAGGCTGAAAGTTGAAAACCACAGGGAATTAACCAGGGAATTTAACATCTAACAGGAGGTGTAGAGCATGAAGCCAGAGAAAATGAAGTACAGCACACAAAACTGCTGAAGAACTAACAGAACAGGATCTATCAGAGTAAAAATTAAGATGCAAAACAAGCCTAAAACAAAAAGCTGACTAACACGATCAGGGTAAGGAAAGGTCGACCCTGATGCAGGGATTTTTGCCAAGATAGAACACAGAATAAAACCAGTAATTCTAAAATTTCACAGAGAAGGAGAGAAACAAATGCCAGGTTATCTGTGAGCAACAAATGCCAGGTTATCTGTGAGCAATCAAGCTAGACTCTCCTAACTCCCACTGTACACTTGAAGGCAGGGCAACAGGGGCAGCTATGTTTACATCTCACATATTCCGGAAGGAAGGAAGGAAGGAAGGAAGGAAGGAAGGAAGGAAGGAAGGAAGGAAGGAAGGAAGGAGAAAGGAGAAAGGAAGGGGAAGAAATAAACAAAAAAAAAAAAACAAAACTGAGAAGCCAGAGCTATGAGTGAAAAGTAGAGGGAAGCCAGGCGAGGTGGCGCACACCCGGAATCTGAGCACTCAAGAGACAGAGGCAGGATGATCCTCGAGAGTGAGGCCAGTCTGGGCTGTCTTGAAGGGGAGTGTGAAAGGAAGAAAAAAAGACAGGTGGGCAGGTGAGAGGGAAGAAGGCAGGGAGGGAAGGAGGAGAAATCCTAAGTCAAGGGAAGGCAGAAGCCTGGAGGAACACCAGACAGGTGACCAGGCCTCACCTCACAGGGCTAAAAGTCCCGGAGGAAAGCACCTCTGTGCACCAGGGTACAATCAAGAGGCTGGATAAGCTTCTGAACTCCAGGAAACTCACCACTATACCTTGTTTAAAAAAAAAAAAAAAAAAAAAAAAAAAAAAGAGGCAGTAAGAAACTCCAGGAAAAAATAAAGGCATGCAAGAAAACTGAGGTCCAAATCAGAAGCTAACCACAAAGGCAGGTGAGTGTGTACAGTCAACTAAGAGCTCCAAGCCAAGCTCTGCTGGCCAGGCTTTTGTGCTACATTATTTATCCTGCATAACCACGCCATGAGGTGGCAGAAGGAAATGGACTCCAGCACAGGCGCTGGCGCATGGACACAGATTTTACACAGTTCTTAAACGCAAGCTGTCTGGGTGCAAAAGCAACCTCACAAGCTGGGTGTTGTGCCACATGCCTGTAATCCCAGCACCTAGGAGGTGAGGGAGGATCATTTTGACTTCTAGGCCGGCCTGGGCTACACAATGAGCTCAAGACCAGCCTGAACTACACAGTGAGAACCTGTCTCTAGTCAATCTCACATACCCCTTTGTAATGTAGATTTCAGGGAAAGGTAGAGAGGTCAGTGTGTAGTCAAAGCAACTAATGGAGAGAAATAGGGTAAGAGTAACAAAGGTAATAAAATAAAACATTAGTGCCAGCCAGCTAGCTCCGTGGACTTAAGCACCTGCTTAGGCAGATGCAGGGGCCTGGGTTCAATCCCTGTTGTACTGGGTTCGATCCCTGAGACACACTGAGATGGAGACCGGGGCTTGGTGTGCTGGTGCGCACCTGTAATCCCAGCGCTTGGGAGGCTAAAAAGAGGAGGATCACTACGAGTCCTATCTGTGTGGTGAGTTCTGTAGACCCTATTCTAAATATGAAAGAAAAATACAATACAATACAACAATGACCAACTCAAGAGGAGGTGGGATGGGGTAGGAGTGAGGCAAACCCTTAAATTTCATGGCAGGGAAATAACAAACTAAATCTGATAAATTACAGAATAGCTATAAAATAATATAGTTCTTTTATGGCAGTAACCACCAAGACAACTAAAACCAGAAAGAGAAACATTGGTTTCTGGAGAGTAAACTTGAACTGGGAAGGGGATACTTTTCATTCTAAGCTTTTCTGTTTTATGAAGCATCTTTGTAACAATTGAAGTGAACATTTAAGTACAATTTTAAAATATCTAGGGGCTGGGAGATGGCTCAGTAGAATAAGTGCTTCCCTGCCAAGCGCAAGGGCCTGAGTTCAATCCCCAGTTCTGCCAAAAATATAAATAAATAAATAAATAAATAAATAAATAAAATAAAATATCTACTTCAACTTTTCCTTAATCACTTTCAAAGAAATATTAGTACTGAGAAAACTGCTAACTGGTTCTAGGAAAAATTTTTTCTAACTGCCTCATGCCAGCCACAATTCACAGGCAACCAAGTGAACACGGAGGCAGAGACCGTTCGTAGTGTGCAGGGATCAGCCAGCCAGAAGCACAGCAGACGCCAGGTCCGAGACCAGGAGAAAAGCTGGGGGACCTCGCGCACAGCCAGGAGCAGCTGCCCTACCAACACCCTGATTCCAGACTCTGACTTCAAGCACTTAAAGAGTGAGTTTATGTTGTTTTCCAGCTGTCCAGTTTGTGGAAATGTGTTACAGTAACCACTGGATATGACGATGCTGGAGAACACAAAGCGGTGCACACATACACATGGGATGTGCCTGGCATGTCCCAAATACTCCTAAAACAGGATCTGTTATCGCTGTTCTTATTCATTATCACCCAACTGGGTTGCCTTGGTGGGGATGGGTGGCTCAGATCCACCCTTGTGCAAAAGGCCTAGGCCTGTATTAGAGGCTTTGTCCTTTCCAGGGTCCTCCTGCTTACAACCCCTGAGGCACAGGGCGTGAGCAGTTACACCAGGCACCCGTGTGAGGGACACCCAGAACTGCAGCAGCCACCTGGATGGCTGCTGGTGTCACACAGCCTAGAGAGGAGGAAGGCAGGTCCCAGGCCACCATCTGGCCAACATGAGGCCCTGTGACTCCTTGGCCCTCTCTTACTGAGGCCGTACTCAGCACCTGCCCCTGAAGACAGGATCAAGACCTGGCCAGAGGCAAGCCTCCTGTTCTGGTCTCTATTTCTCACTCAGCCTATTTCAGGAGAGGTAAGGGCCAATAAAAGGAAACTATAGGCCAGGTGTGGTGGTGCATGCCTATAATCTCAGCATCAGCACTCAGTAGGCTGAGGCAGGAGGACTGATGTGAGTTTGAGGTCAGTCTGGCTACGAAGTGCGTAGGGAAACCCCGTCACTCATTCCTCTCTCTCTCTCTCTCTCTCTCTCTCTCTCTCTCTCTCTCACACACACACACACACACACACACACACACACACACACAGAAATTATGACTCATGCTGGCAAGGTCAGCACCAGGTCAGGTCAGGTGGCCCCTGAGTGGTGGCATTCCAGTGGCACCCAAGATACAAGAGGTGGGGAGGAGCAGCAGAAAACTGCATTCCAGTGCACTTCACTTCCAGCAAGGTCCCCAGAGAGCATCTGTTTATATGGGTTCCATCCACGCAGATTTACATTACCAATGAAGAACATCTTAAACCTAAGCGCAAACTCAAGTAGCTGTTGGAGGGATGATGTCACTGCACATGATGCACTATCTGGAATACTCCATTGTGCTCTTTGGGAGAAAGATGGGTAAATGTCACTGTGCCATGAAAACAGCTCTGAGCTCAAGGCCCCCCGAAAGGGTGCCAGGTACCTGCTGGTGTCATTCTCTGTCCTCAGTGACACCGGCTGTTCTGGGGACTGACCTCAGGGTGGTGTGGCTGAGCTGAGTAAGCACAGGGCTAGGACAGGAGGAGGGTGGGGAACCCAGGCTGGCCCTGCAGGCTTGGGGCCCTCCTGCCCTTGGAAAAGGGTGCCAGAGTCCTCCTTACTCCAACCCACTCTGTCACCTGCCACCTCCCACACGCAAGACACTGGCCACTTCTTCCCACAGAGGGAGCTCAGTCTAGCCCCAAAGGGGTCGCGGGGGCTCCTACAGGTGGCTTCAGAACCCAGCACGACTAGGGCACAGAGCCTCATGAGACTGCTTGGGCTGGGAGGTCAGGCGCACTGGGCAGGATGGGGATCAGGCCTTGTGAAGAGCAGGTGAAAGGAAGAGGGGGACGGAATGCTGGGGGATACAATGGGGAGCAGAAGCAGACCAGACTCCACCAGGAGACCCAGGGGACCTGTGGTGGTAGGCCAACAGCTTTGGGCCAGGTGAAGTGGAGCACATTCAGCACTGGGTGCACCCCACATGTGGGGGGCAGGCAGGGTGTCCAGGGAGTGCACGCAAGGTGCAGGGTGCATAGGTGGAGGTGGGAAGGGTGCCAGGCACATGGGGCGTGCAGGAGAGGGCTCAGTGTGGGGCCAGCCTGGGTGAGGACGAAGGAGGTTACATAAATGTTCCCTGGCGCCGCCGCGAGGCTGCCTTGAGTCCAGCAGGACCCAGGACAATTGCCTCATCTTATCAGGAACTCCACGTCCCCACCACTCTTGCCCAAGCCACAGCGGGAACAGTGTGTTCTGCGCAGCAGGAGGGACCCTGGCCAGGGGGCTCCCCACCACCGCAATCTTCACACAGAAGCTAGGCAGGGCTCAAGGCGTGCTTGGGGTGTCCCACCCGCCTGTGCGAAAGGCCAGCTTCCCATTATCTACCAGCACCCACCCGGCTGCCCAAACTACTAGCCAGCCTGCCCAGAGCCCCTAGGCAATAAGAAACCAGCCTGCCCAGAGCCCAGAGCCCCTAGGCAGTAAGCAACCAGCCTGCCCAGAGCCCAGAGCCCCTAGGCAGTAAGAAGCCAGCCTGCCCAGAGACCAGAGCCCCTAGGCAGTAAGCAGCCAGCCTGCCCAGAGCCCAGAGCCCCTAAGCAGTAAGCAGCCAGCCTGCCCAGAGCCCAGAGCCCCTAGGC